CTCTGTGCATGACAGGGGGCGGCGCCCCAACTCCCCAATCGGCCCTGCTCTGAGCCTGACCAGGGGCTGCACTTAGGGATTGGGCCTGCCCTCTGCCACCCGGGAGCAGGCCTAAGCCAGCAGGTCGTTATCTCCTGAGGGGTCCCAGACTGCGAGAGGGCACAGGCCGGGCTGGGGGACCCCCGTCCCCCCGCCCCCCGAGTGCACAAATTTTTGTGCACCGGGCCTCTAGTCCTATATAATAAAGAGGTAATATGTAAATTGACCATCACTCCAACACACAAGATGGCCACCCCCATGTCGACACAAGATAGCCACCACAAGATGACCGGCAGGGGAGGGCAGTTGTTGGTGATCAGGCCAGCAGGGAGGGCAGTTGGGAGGGACCAGGTCTGCAAGGGAGGGCGATTGGGGGCGATTAGGCCTGCAGGGGAGGACAGTTAGGGGCGACCATGGCCTTCTGGGGAGGACAGTTGGGGGGGACCAGGCCTGTAAGGGAGGGTAGTTGGGGGGGACCAGGCCAGCAGGGGAGGGCAGTTGGGAGGGGACCAGGCCTGCAAGGGAGTGCAGTTGGGGGTGATTAGGCCTGCAGGGGAGGGCAGTTGAGGGGACCAGACCTGCAGGGGAGGGCAGTTGGGGGGACCAGGTCTGCAGGGGAGGGCAGTTGGAGGGGAACAGGCCTGCAGGGGAGGGCAGTTGGGGGTGACCAGGCTGGCAGGGGAGGGCAGTTAGGGGTGACCAGGTTGGCAGGGGAGGGCAGTTAGGGGTGACCAGGTTGGCAGGGGAGGGCAGTTAGGGGTGACCAGGTTGGCAGGGGAGGGCAGTTAGGGGTGACCAGGTTGGCAGGGGAGGGCAGTTAGGGGTGACCAGGTTGGCAGGGGAGGGCAGTTAGGGGTGACCAGGCCTGCAGGGGAGGACAGTTAGGGGCAACCAGGCCGGCAGGGGAGCGCAGTTGGGGGCAATTGGGCCGGCAGGGGAGCAGTTAGGTGTCGATCAGGCTGGCAGGCAGAAGTGGTTAGGGGCAATCAGGCAGGCAGGCAGGCAGGCAAGCGGTTGGGAGCCAGCAGGCCTGGATTGTGAGAGGGATGTCCGACTGATTGGGCCTAAATGGGCAGTCGGACATCCCTCGAGGGGTCCCAGATTGGAGAGGGTGTAGGCTGGGCTGAGGGACACACCCCCGCATGCATGAATTTCATGCACTGGGCCTCTCCTCTCGTATAATAAATAATATTGTAATAACTATGTGGTTCCAGGTGGATACTAGACTATCATGGTGATCACTTCATAAGTTATATAAATATTTAACCACTATGCTGTGCACTTGTAACTAATATAATATTGCATATGATCTGTAATTAAAATATATATAAAAATAAAATTGAGAAAAATAAGCAGAGCCTGGAATATTTGTGTATGCATTTTACAAAGTGTAGACTGTATGCCTAAACAGCGTGCATAATATCTGTACGTGCTGATTTCCTCGTTACTGTTGGTGTGTGCTTTTGGACAGTTGAGGAAGTTGAAACTAGCTACATTTCTACATTTGTCATAACTCTGTTCAGTAAGCACAATAACAATGTGAAATTTTTATTGAGAAAGCAGCAGTTACCAGCACATTCCTACTGGCTAGAATCTACTAGAGATCAGGCCCCCACTCTTGTCTGGTTCTCAAACATCAAGAGAACTGTACATTATCTCCAGCCTCATATGTGAAATGTATGCCCAAAACTATAAAATATTAAACAGATTGCAAAAATGAATAACAAGATGAAAAAAGTAGATTGAACTAAATTTAAAGAACTTTAAAAGCAGTCTTTGATTAATGTTGGATACATTTCATCTATAAACTCAAAGGTATGGGAATACCTGCCTGCAGTGGAGTGCAGTCCTCTGGGAGTTAAGGTAAAATGACCTCAGGATATATCAGAAAAGTTCTCCCAGACACCTGATCTGGAGAGGGACCATAAAATTGATAGAAGCAGAGTTACTCTTTAAAGAACAACAACAACAAAAAAAATATATTGTACTAAAACTGAATGTGTTGGGAATCTCTTTGGAGGAAAAAATATAATATGAACTTAGCAAACTAAATAAGTACTAAGAATATAAAATAATTCGTGACAAGGGAGTTCTCCAGCACCTTAAAAATGAAAGAAAAAACAGTTCAAGCAATACGTGTAAAATCAAAGTTCTCAACTCCAGGATCATGAATAAATAACTAGTGAGAATTCAAGAACTTCCAGGAAAAGGATGTTTATGTACATAACAATGTAAAAAATGCTAAGGCACCCAACTCCATTCAGTAGATATGAATCAAATACCAAAACAAAGCAGTCCCCAATGGATTCTGGAAAATTCAAGTCTATTTAGCTCTAGAAAGAGGTAAATCATGCTCCTGGCCTCCTTGCCACAGATTTGAGTTTCCTGCAAAAGTGTTAGTAGATTCAATAGCCAGAGCTTTGAGAATACATTTCAGAGGTGAGATATTAATCCTTGGATCTTGTTTCAGCACCTACAGCTGGACCAACCACTCCCAATGGGAACCTGGTGGATGAATGTGATGATGACCAGGCCAACTGCCACAGTGGAACAGGTGATGACTTCCAGCTCACAGGTGCAGAAACCATCTCCATCCCATTGCTATGCCATTTCAGTTCATACTTCCATTGAGACCACCTAATTAATGCCTGTTTGTGTTTGTGTAGCTCCTCATGGTGGTGGTCATGAGGGTGGTTGCAGAACTGTCTCAACAAAGGCAGCCTTGCCAGAAGACATGCATCGTTATTTCCTCCATGTAAAGAACTTGTTCTTAATAGTCACGGCCATTTGAAATTATAATTTTAGACATTTTCAAAGCTGATGCTAGAAAAAAAAAAAAGCTGATGCTAGGATTATTTTAATTGAATAAGTATTTCTCCATGGCTAAAAGTGCTAAACATATCCCCATCTTCAACCCCCCACCCCCATAACACATTAATTACACACACTTTAGAATGTTTATTTTTCCTTTCTAGTGAGGATACTTTTTTTGAGTGGATCCTTTATCCAACTAATTGATGAAATTAGGCTTGTATTTGAAATGCAGCTTTTAAGTTAGGATTTGGTAAATCATTTTACATTAAAAGTTTCAATGACAGAATCAATTGTCATTACACATTACCACTGACTAGCAAGTATATCAGGGCTGGTGTGTGCCAAATAGCTCACTAATTAATTTAGAGTATCTAATTAATAAAAGAGAAACATGCAAATTGACTGCACCTCTGCTATGCCCCAAGCCACGCCCACCAGCCAATCAGAGCGAATATATGCAAATTAACCCAACCAAGATGGCTGCCGGCAGTCACGGAGCTGGAGCAAGCAGAAAGCCAAGGTTCCCGCCTGCCCTGGCTGGCTGTGGCCTCTGCTCAAGGCAACAAAGTTTCAATTATAGAAGATAAATAAATCCCAGATACCTGCTTCCAGCCAGCCTCCATTGGGAGCTTGGGTGGCCGGGGGCCCTGGCCAGCCTACAAACAGCCATCAGCCCCTCACCCAGGCTGGCCAGGCACTCCAACAGGATCCCCCTCCCTGAAGGGGATGTGGCCAGCCTGAAAACAGCCCTCAGCCCCTCACCCAGGCTGGCCAGGCACTCCAACAGGATCCCCCTCCCTGAAGGGGATGTGGCCAGCCTGAAAACAGCCCTCAGCCCCTCACCCAGGCTGGCTAGGCATCCCAGAAGGACCCCACCCTGATCCGGGACACCCTTCAGGGCAAACCAGCTGTCCCCCACCCATGCACCAGGCCTCTATCCTATATAATAAAGGGGTAATATGTAAATTGACCCTAACAGCAGAACGACTGGGAATGACTAGTCACTATGACACACACTGACCACCAGGGGGCAGACGCTCAATGCAGGAGCTGCCCCTTGGTGGTCAGTGCGCTCCCACTGGGGGAGTTCTGCTTAGCCACCAGCCAGGCTGACGGCTGCCAGTACAGTGTTGGTGGTGGTAGCCTCTCCCTCCTCCTCAGCAGCCCTAAGGATGTCTGACTGCCGCTTAGGTCTGCTCCCCGCTGGCAAGTGGACATCCCCTGAGGGCTCCCAGGCTGCCAGAGGGATGTCTGATTGCCAGCTTAGGCCCAATCCCCCAGGGAACAGGCCTAAGCCAGTAGGTGGTCATCACCCGAGGGGTCCCAGACTGCCAGAGGGCACAGGCAGGGCTGAGGGACCCCCTCGAGTGCACAAATTTTTGTGCACTGGGCCTCTAGTCTATATTATAAAAGGCCAGTGACCGTAATGCCGTAATGTTGTAATGACCAAACAACTGGTCAGTGGCACAGCAGGCCTCGGTCTCACAGCACGGTGGGTCTGGGGTCTTGTGCGATTTCACACACTGGGCCTCTAGTTACTCCATAATATTCTAAAACCCTCAAAGCTAGCAAGTGACCTTTTCTTCCAATTGGAATGGCAGAGCAAATGTTAGGCAAGTGGGGAAATGAAATTGTACTAGTTTGAAATTGGCCAAGGCAATTTCCACCCTATTGTTGCAAAAGGTACTATGGAACCTTTATCCGGGTCAAAATGCAGTTTCATATAGCATCTGACTCTCACTTAGATTGAAACCTTGGATGTAGGTCTGTATTTTTACCCAGAAAGGATGCAGAGAGCCCACATAATTAATTTCCATATGTGAAACTGAAGGCACTACCATGTAACTTCATAACAGTGCATAATGTCATTGGATAATTCATTCATGTGGCCAATAAATGCTACATTGCTTTGTGCATTTGAAAATAAAGCTTATATATGTAGCCATAAGCCACAAAAATTACTCTAATTAATACAGTCTATTTCTTTGCACGATGTCAAGTTCAAGCTGAAAACCCTACAGCTGAGGTTAAAAACAGAGTACCATTCTATGAACCAGGTCCCATAGAACCTTCCCAGGGTTGCCTGTAAGCACTGCCCCAAACCTCAGGCTTTTTATAGAACATTTCACACATCCATAGTGAAATTCCTCATAAAAAGGAATGGCTGCAATCATTGAAGTATATCCTTTTCAATTAGCCTCTGTGGTGAGGGTTCTTTTCTTTATATACCCTAAAGTGGTCAGTTAATATAGATTAGAACAAAGCCTCAGATTTACTCCTCATATCAGAACAACCAACTTTCTCATTTTTATATCAGTTCATTACTGAATCAATTGAAACTAAAACCTTTGAATGAAATAGAGCAAGTATATTAGCCTGGAGCAAATTGTGTATGGCAACAATTACAAACCACAGAAAATGAGTCATTTGTAGTGGAAAACTGGCAATCCTTTAAAACTCTAAGGTTATGGTTTATCTACAGCTTTTAAAATCATTTTTTGTGTACATAGAAAAAAATTTCATTCCCGTTCATATTACCATGGCAAAAAAGAGTTATTTTCTCAGGCCATCACATTTGTCTCAATAATTCTATAAATATATGCATCATACTAAGAACTTCTGGGGTGTTCATAATGCACACTTCACGCCCTCATCAAGAAGGGATTTTTAGAAGGCATTTCATGCTTCATATGTATTTATTGCATTATAACCAAGTTTGCTTAGTGAAGCTATTTGGTATCTTTTCCTGAAAAAGGGTATACATATATAAATGTTTGCAAGGAGCAAAACCATCACCTAAGTCAGGTGCCTTTTCACATGTGAACAAGTCACGTCCTAGGTACACACACAACTCTTCATTCTCTTTGCTCACTCTGGCACAGGCTTTACCTTCAGAGCTGCAAGTCTTGAATGTTCAATACAAGAAAAACAAACTAAAAGCATTCTCACTTTAACCCTGATAGGTGGAGGAGATTAGGATCAAGGCTCTATTAAACAGGGTTCAGTCTTTTAAAGCAGATGTTGTTGCTTTAATTTCTCCTCCTGGGGTGACCTGTTTGTATACAGAGAGATAAGTATTACAGTAAAATGCTCACTTCTTACAAACAATACTGAATTCCAGGTGAAATGTACCAAGTGCATGGGAATGAGAGGTTTTGCTCTCCAGTATTTGCTTGCCAAGGTGAAAATTCACCTCCAAGTTATTCATTTGCAAATGGCTTTGAACTCATTACATAATAGGATTGTCTTCAAAGGCACTGGGAGGCCAGATTTCACATTGGACCTGTGTGTACCCAAGAGTGGAATTTGGCTTCCAACCTATAATAAAACGGATAATGCATATTGGTTTTATAAAGTGAGTTTTTCTCCTAAAAGAACACTGGGAATAGAATGCTAATGTATTTTGGCCTCCCGCCAATTCTGCCATTATAGATTCACCTTCCTAACCCATAATATATATAATTCCTTCTTTCTGGTGCCTACCTCATTGAAGCCACAAACCTGTGTGACCACTTAGCTGGAACATTTATTGGGAGAACAGGGCTAACATGACTTGGTGCTGCAGCAGGTTAGCTCAGAAATATTCGGACCACTCCAAGAGCATGATTCTACAGCTCTGATTCATAATCTGGATGATTTCTAATCTTTGGGAGCTGCAGGATAGGACTAGGGCTGGGTACAATAGAGATGATCACAGATCTTTATTGAATGATACTATTGGTAGGTCTACAATGGTACCCTATAATCACCTCCAAAACTCTTCATGACAGTCATAGGTCCACCCCATGCCTTCCTTACTCTGAGTCTGCCCAGGACTTTATCTCTTGGGAGAGCAGATAGTCTCTGACCATGGTCTGCAGTGCAGACACTCTTAAGCAGAAATGCCTAAACAAGCACGTAGGCAATAAACAGCAAAACACTCTTTCCCAAGTTTATTTCAGTATAAGACTCATCTGAGAAATTTTCAGAATTACATATTTCAAGGGTTGACCCCCAGAGATTCTGGTTTTCAGTGAGATCTGAGGAGGGTAAATGGATTGGGAACTGCAATCTCAACAAATGTTCAGGTGATTCTTCTGGTTGGGCAAGTTTAGGACAGAAATATAATGATAAAGAGTAGACAATGGAAGAGCTAAGAAAGGGGAAAAAAAAGGACACAGCTAAGTGTCCACATGGTCCCCTGACCAGCTATTTCAAAGTCAACCCAAACTGACTGAAAGTTCACATTGCTCAGGGTGTTATTTGTGCAATCTCCAGTTCCTTGGAACTGTGAGGAAATGTTTCTCCCCTTCTCATTTTCCTGCAGCTTTTCCAAACTACATACTGGGCAGAATATCTGTCCTTGGGGAAAAATAAACAACTATTATTGTAGGAAAAAAAAAAAGGAGGAACTACTGCCACCCAGTTTAAACCACCAGTTTTTAAAAGCGATTGTAGGACCAGCCTTGCAACTCCCCTGAAAGCACACATCTGCAACCTTGGGAAACTCTTCGAAACTTAGAGGTCTTGGTCAGGTTTAATGCCCCAGTTGCTGAGGACATTTGGAGGCCTTTGTTTTCACTGTTGCAATGGCATGCCATGTTCAGTCTAGGAATCAGGGGATGACCTTGGAATGAAGTATCAAACTCTCTCTCCTACCTGGATATCTTATGACTAAATGTGCTGGGTAAAAAATAATAGTTTATTTGAGCTTGACATTGTGATGAGCAAATTTAAACAAAATAATGACTACAGCTGAGATTAACAGAAGGATTTTCTATGGAAATGTTTTCCTCTATCTAATGTATGTAAGCATACATTTCTCTACTGCATATTCTCTACAATTTTTCATTTTTCTCACTTTTGTATGTTACTCTTTTGTTTTTCAGGTGGTACCACTGTGCTGACCACAGAAAAGCCAACCATAATAGACAGCACCATACAATCAGGTATCAAATAAAATAGAAAATGTGGTTGATTTCCCATATGCCTGTTTTCCCTCCCCGTCCCCTTCTAAAATAGAACATTGCTGTACTTCTGGATTCAGCTTCTCTCAAAGCCCTAGAAAAGAGATACTATGCAGCATCTGGTCTCCAAGCATGAGCCATAACTATTGCTTCCCTTCCATCCACATGTATATGTGGCACGGAGCGAGATTTCCTGCTCTATCAGTAATTGCCAAATGGTGACAACCCAGCTCTCAACTGAAGAAATAGGCTAACATACTTTGTTTAACCACAGCACATCTAGGACATGGACTGTGTTTGCAAACTACAGAAGAAGGAAATCGTACAAGCAGTAGCCTGACTATTTATTTTCATCACCATTCTACAAAATCAAGACAGGCAAAGTTTGTCAGCTTTGCCTGCCACAGAGTTGGCAGTTTTACAGCAGTGTTTCCAGTGAGCATGCCACGAAGTGGGGCGCAGGAAGCCAGGGCTCTAATTGTATGTAAGGAGAGGACTACCCTCATGAAGGGCACCTCCTCATCCTTTTATTAATAGAAAAGCACAATGACTTTTAAGGCCCTTAGTTTACTGTTTATCAAGGCCAACCACAGTTAAATAGTGGCCTCCTCTCACTCTCCTTTGTATTGTGTTAGTATTCTGTAGAATTCTTCCCTACAGACCCACACGGAAGAAAACAGTCAGTATAAAGCAATCAGAGGTTTTAAATACTTTGAAGTTAATCATTAGAGTAAGGTGAACAGGTCAGCTTTCCAGGTTCTCCCATTTCCTTTATAGAAGCTCACTCAGGCTTTGCCTCCACAGTCATTTATTAATGGGGCATGTGGTGTATATCAATGTTTCCTCAGCACTATGACACTACCCAGCTAGGCAGAGAGTATAAAGGATTGTTCTAATTAGTATGCTTCCTTAAAGGTCCCTATCACCATTGACCTGATTTAACTGCAAAATAAACTTCTCTTCAGTTAGACTTAACACCAAGTGTCCTGTAGTGTATTCAGGTTGCCAAAAGCCTTCTACCACACAGCTCAAAACCCCCAAATACCAAAAAATGAAAGAGAAGAATAATATGTTTACCAAAAAATTCCAAAACAGCTGTAGTCCTACCCACATCTTTTCATGTTATAAAATGTGGCCTTAATGGATTGTGCAGTAGTAACCTGGGATGGCTGAAACTGCCTCATGAGTGAAGCATGGCCTCTTGCTTGCTCCCTTCCTTTCCTGAAAGCCTTCAGCCCTTCAGTGAAACAACCATCAGTTGGCTCTCTTTGACTCAATATTAGAGAAGAGGGGTGAGGTGAAACAAGGAAGTTCTAGTGATGAAGCAAACACTTTAACTTTTGTTTTAGTTTCTTCTCTTGCCAGAGCATTAATTAAAACCACTATGAAATTGCCAATGAACTGTTTTATTTCCCCTCTTGCCTATCAAAAGAGCTAGGGGTCATTAAAGAAATGAAAGAGAACGAGAACTGCAAAAAGAAAAAAAAACACAGAAAGATATATCAGATCCCCAAATTGGATCGTTCTCCCTAAATGTGGAATGTCTGTATTGTCAGAGCAGGAATGACTTTGTGAACACACTTGATTTGTGCATGAGCTCAAGGCCATTGGTGTGAAGGCTTCACAGAGGAGCTCCAGGACCAGACAGTCACCTCACAGGGTCTATGGTAGTCAGAGGGCAGATGTGCAAATCATGAACCAGGTAGACCATGATTAGAAGTTCATGTCAAGCCACAGGGTTTACTGATAGGGTCCAGTTTTGAAATCCAGGGTCTATCCAGAGTCCTTTACAAATCACCCTGGTTTCTTGTTTTTCTATTGCCTGAATTAAAAATCTGCAAGTCTTTGGTTGTGGATAATGGATATCTGATTTTTTTGAGGAGTCCAGTGCATGTTCAGAATGCTCCACAAGGACCTGAGAGTGTCAATCTAGGCCAGGTCTAACTCTGAGGTGCCCCCAGGGGTCAGGTCCACATTGTTCTGCAGGCTTCAGATTCTACAGGTGTCTTTACAAGCAGTAGAAAATTAGACCCCTAAACTCTCATTATAATCTGAATTTGATGAGGCCAGTATAGACTCAAGCAGAGTCTCAAGATTTCATTTTGAGGATTCTTATCAATATAATAAACTCAGTGGGCATATAATATTTACATGCTGTCTGGGTTATAACCAGATGCATAAAAGCCTATTAATTCTCTGCCAGGAATTGATGAAAATTCTGCATTTTAAATCCAGCTCCCCCCTCATGAAGCCTTTTACCCTCTGAGGATCTTCAGACATTCCTAGATCAAACATTCCTAGAGTGTATTCATAACGTCTGATTATATGGGCCTCAGCTTTTCCACTTGTTTGTACCACACATCCAGTCTATAAGTAAGCAAGTTAACACACTCAATAGAAATTCAGGTTTAAAAGTTAAATCCTTGTGCATATACTGTGCTAATATTCCATTGTGAGTAAGGTAGGTTCAACAAGCACCACTGGTGTGTGCTCACAGTGGCTATAAATTTGTTTTAAGTTCAGAATACTATTTCCTGCTATTTTTAAGAGTCAAGAAGGAATTTAGCCAGATTATTCCCAATGAATTTAATAAGAATTGGGTAATATTTTGAAGATTTAAAAGTCAACAGTCCTATACATTTATTTCATTCATCCGTTGCTTTTTTCTTTCTCAGTTCTTTTCTCCTCCCCTTCTGTCTTTTTTTCTCTGTTTTTTTTTCTTTTTCCTTTCTATAAATGTTTATGTGTATTTTGTATGTTTAATAGCCTTTCTATCCAGGCTTGAATTTTCAACACTGAGCTACTCTTACTCTATACCTTTCCTCCACAAAATGCATAGATTTTCAAAAACTTTACTTTAAATGATCAAGATTAACAGAAGTAAGCTATATAATCAGGACAAGAACATCAAAGTGTAATAAAATCAAAATGTTAGAGCAATTCATCCTGTTAGATTCATAGAACTAGAAAGAACATTGAAAGATCAAGATGAACTGCCATTCACTGCAGCAGGAGAAATGCCTAAATCATCTTTTTAGGCAAAGCTGTCCCATGTCCTGGTGATTGCAAAAACACCCAAGTTCATATATTTATGATATCACCAGAATTGATAGCCAAAATAATGGATAGTGTGGTTTTCTGTATTATACAATAAATTTAATGTATTAACCAGGTAAATATAACAAGAAATGTGTGTTCCATAGTGGCTTGCTGCCCTCCTGTATATGCTTGTCTTATAAACCACATTTAAGGAGAAAACCCAAACCCACATACACATTAACATTTTCCAATATTAACATTTTCTAACATGAGATTATGTAACAGTACATTCCTGGGTTTTGGTGGGTGACATCCAAGATTGTTCATTCAGTCCCTGTTCAGTTCACTTCATCTGCATGATTTGACCTTGCTGCACAAGTGTGGTACATTTTGGAAAGGGTTTCTCATGCTCTAACAAGTCCTATTTCATGGTTTTGATAGACTAGACATAAAATACAGCTCTCCAATAACACTACAGCTGTGAAGTGTAGCCCTTTTGCACTAACTGAAAATGTTCATATTATGCATATCACTTACTAGTTTACTGTTTCACACTGGCCCTATCTATGCATGCTTTGGGAGGTCACATTGTCATTGAAAATGCGATTCTATCCTTCTCAGTTTTAACACTTCATATAGTGAATGTTTTCTAAAAATGTATATTAGCATTTGGAAAGAGTTCCTTGGAAACTAAAAGTGCGAAGAAAATCATCCTTATTTATTCAAGAAATCTTTCCATTAAAATTTCTCTTCCCATTGTTAAAATTAGGAAGGAGCAATGGAGCCAAGCTCAAAGGAGAAAGAAGATATTTTGTATTAAATACTTCAGTAAAGTTAAAGAGAAGATCAAAACAAGATATGTTCTCAGCCTGTTATGTGTTGTTCCCTAAAACAGCAGATAATACCACACTTCCCTTATTGCACATAGGGATGGTTTTGAGACATTTTTAACCTCAGTGGGCAAGTCGCCCTAGGTGTGTTTCTCTCCGTTTCAATGCTGCCATCTGGTGGACTGCCTAATCTCAGTGAGGAGCACTGCCCCCCCCATCCTCAGGGAAAACAGGCGGCTTTGTGTTTCATTTTACATGGAGGCCTGGAACTAACAGAAGCATGAGCATCTTATCTTTAGGATTCGTTTTACCAAAATAATTCTAAGCATCAAAGATTTTATTTTTTTCCATGCTTAAAACTCAAGCTACTTTCAAAAGGAGGGTGGAGTGGGAAAAAAAAAGATTTAAAAAAACACTATAGTCAAGTATAGCACCTTGTAGAACACATAAGAGAAATAATTCCTGAAAATCCACCCATACTTTAATTTTAGGTCCCAAAGACAGCATTTGGAACATTCAAAATATAAGAAACTTTCCTGGCTTCTGTGGTTCAGTTGGTTAGAGTGTCATCCTATACACCAAAAAGGTTGCACGTTCAATTCCCAGTCAGGGCACTTGCCCAGGTTGTAGGCTCAATCCCTAGTAGGGGCAGCTCGGGGCATGTAGGGGAAGCAACTGATAGATGTTTTTCTCTCCCTCTCTTTCTAAAAATAATAAAAAATAAAAAGCATATTCTCAGGTGAGGATTAAAGAAAATAAAAAATAAAAAAACTGGTAGTTATTTAAATGTGCCTTGGTTTTACATGACCTTGCATTGAGGTTTTTAAGTGGATGAACAATTTATATGCAAATTTTAAAATTCACTGAAAAAGCAGAAACTGCACTTAAAATTAATTGACCTGATATAAAGCACAGAAGAAAAAAAAAATCTTAAGATCTGCTTCAGAGATCTGACACTAAAGACCTGAAGCATTAGCTGCTGTGATGAGAATACAAATAGCCTCCAGGATGAGGCATTCACCTGCCACATTTCTAGACTTGAGGTTCCTGGATCAATTTCTAAGATTCTTTTAATTAGTGAGTATCAATTTATATAGTCCATCCTCAAGAACATAGCAACTTTTATATTAAATATTGAAGAAATAGAGAGAATGCTACATACGGATATAACATACATGCTTTGGAAAGTAACCTTCCCAGAAATTTCATGTAAAACCAACTTGACAGACAGCCCATCATTTTTTATAAAGCTGGATTTAAAAAGTTACTAAACATTATTTTGAAAATGTTTTGACATCTCTGTGCATCTTTTGAGTTTCCTGGTAATTTTAGATTTTGTGGCTTTCCCAGAATTTTCAAACAGATGTTAAGTTGTATAAATTGTGCTTTCCATGAACAAATTAAGGGCCTTTCTGATCTAAATGATTATATTTGTCTTTCTCTGCTTGTCTCTATTTTTCCTTTACACCCGCTGAAGAGTTTCCAACATATGGTTTTAACTGTGAATTTGGCTGGGGTTCTCATAAGACATTCTGTCACTGGGAACATGACAATCACGTGCAACTCAAATGGAGTGTGCTGACCAGCAAAACGGGACCGATCCAGGATCACACAGGTACTGGAGAGTTCACTGTGGACTCATTTCTTTGAATTAAGGGTTACTGTGGAGAGTTTTGGGGTCTGTTAATCTAGAAGCACAGAAAATACTGCAGAGCGTTCACTTATGCTTTTATTTCCTGGAATTAACAAGATCTCTTTCCCTAATAGAGATACAATTTCCCTAACATTAACATTTCAGCAGTAGTAGCAGAAAATGCTGGTTAAATTTGGCAACTGATTGACCTCCTGAAAAACAACAAACTGGGCAAAGGCGTGTGAATTAGTACCTTTTTAATACTTGATGGAAAATTTCAACATATTTAAAAGTATAAAAGAAATAGTAACACAAACTCTAAATGTACACAATCCAACTTCAAAAATTATCAAATCATAGGAATATTACTTTATCTCTATTATCCCTGACTCTGGACTATTTTAAACCAAGTCCAGACATATATTTGCCCTCTTGTGTATTTACACAGCTGAACAAACAATAAGTGAGCTTTATGCTTGCTCTCTCTGGACCCTTGAAATGGAAGTGGATCAAAGTGGGGTGGGGTTCTTATTCTTTTGGGGAAGATTTTAAATCTGAGCAGGTAGAAACCACATCAAACCCCTGGTCACAAGCTACCCCACCTCCTGTCTTACTTTCCCTCTAACATTAATTGGTTGGAGGAGGAAGGGAACTGACAGCCACCCCACTGAGCTTTTCTATCTACCACCACCTGGTTTCCTTCGTAGTAATTTCATCACCCATCTTGAGGTATGGTATAAAGAGCCAACAGTGTCCTACAAAAAACACACATACACACACTCACAAGGAACACCCAATGCACAAACATGTACCATACTCCAATGCTTATAGGCCTGCTTACTCAGTAGTGGCTTCCCAAAGATTCTCCAGAAGGGCATTTGCTATTGCTGAGAAATCTCATTAAGCAGTTTCCCCCAAGCTGGTGCTTGGGCAAGTAGGTCAGTGGGCTGATGGATGGACAGAGGGTACTTCATGCCTTTCCCATTTTGTTGTTCACTTTCCCCCACCCTGCCCCGTGAATGTAATGATTAAGTAAGTTGAATAGTCCTCCTTCCACCACAGCTAGCTCTTTGCCTAATGAGAATGACAAGGAAATTGGATAAAATTAGACTCCTTCAATTCTGAAATACTTTCAATTGAATCTTAAGACAAGCAGTTTTAGAAAACTTAAACTACTTTGACTGTACATATAAATGGCATCAAATTAACCAAATGCAATTAGCTGGAATGAAGGCAGTAATGGTGGGAAAATTGATGCAAAGTAGAGCAAAGTGGCTCAGTAGGATCTGACATTCAAAGGTTAAAAACAATGTTAGCTAGAGACAAAAGCTAAAAGACTTGCAGAAGTAAAGCACTAATTGAGAAAATGAAGACAGAGTTCCTGACTTAGAACTGTGATAAAACCCCTGAATGGAAAAATATCAGTATTTTATGTGTTGAGCATCAGAACAGGAGGGCTTGTCTTAGATTAACAGCTGAGAAGTGTGGTTTCTTGAGAAGAATCTGTGCTTTTAGTTCTCTCAGACACCCTGATTTACTTGGCTGTGGTGCCATGCCTGTCCTGACTAGCCTCCGCAGCACTAGAAACAATCATTTGCAGAGAGTGATGGGTGAGCCTTACACCTGAAAGGCAGGAGCTTGCTCATGTGAGAAAATGTAGATGAAGGAGCCCTGCACAGCACACATGCACACAGACTGACAGACACAGGATTGGGAACTTTGAAAATCAGACATGGAGATTGTTTCTGAATCAACACTGTCTAGTTACAGTCTCCTTTTACTGCTCGCTTTTGAATTTAGTTAAACGAATCTGACCTCTAAGAATGAAGCTATACACCTCCTCATAGAGGATTCCTGAAGCCCAGCATCTTTACCTGGTTCATTGAACACATGGTATTTGTATAGACCTGTTGCTACATGGCAAATGCTGCGTTGAGCATTTGAGATACACATCTAAGGGAGGGTGGCCCTGCCCTTGAAGAGCTCACAGTCTGGCTAGGGGTGGAAACAATCACAGTGCAGAGGAATGAGGAATGAGGATGCCTTATGCCAAAGGAGATCATGATGGTGAAAGATAAGATAGGAGGGGTCAGAGAAAGCAGGCCTGCCCCACAGACAGTGTAAGCTTGGCTTGAATAAGGAATGATATGTACAGAGAGATGGAGGGGTGGGGTCTGTTTCAGTGGATTGCCAGTGGTGTGCTTCGGACAGATTCCCATGTGAAGTGGTTAGATATGGGGCTGGGCTAAAGACAGTGAGGAGCCAGGGAGGCATTTTAAACCGAAAAGTGACATGAGCAAAATTTTCAAAGTCCACAATGGCAGCCAGGCCAAGGTCGGGGCAGATTGCTCAGCCTTCCTCCTTCAACCCCTGACAGGTTTTCTCCTTCTGTCTTCTGCCTATTCTAGAAATTGCCCAGATCAACTCCATGGAATCAATAAATGTCTTTCCTCTCTGCAGATTTCTAACTTCAGGTTTTTTTCAGAAGCCTGGGGGACAAAGGGGGTGAGGCAAGATGGGTGCGTTGTCTACCTGTTTGCTGTCCATCTTGGTGGACTGATCCACTATTCATCTCAGTGAAATGGCACTGTCTCCCAGACAGGCACTGCCACTTGGTAATTTAGTCGGATAAGAGAAACCCCAGAGTGACTTAGTCAGCTGGTCACGGGGGACACTCACAAGCACTGAGAGCATAAACATAATCCTGGAGCTGTGGTTTTTATCTGCTCCCTCCTTTTATTATTCCACCCATGGGTTTCATTAACATGCTCCTTCCAGTGCAATCTCAGATAAGCCCCCAAGTGAAGGAGGAAAGCTGCCCTTACTCACTTCCCTGGACACTGTTGACACAGGCAAGCAGATACAAGAATCAGTGCACATGTGTACAGTAAAAATTACCTCACAAATGCACAAGCCTCTGGGACAGCAAACAAAATACGCTGCTGCCCACTGAGGCCCGAGCATCAGATTCACACATACATCAGGTGAGGCATAAAGGAGACGATTTCTATTTGCAGAGCAAACAAACAGTGAAACATGACTTGTGTGTTTAGACCAGATGGTGGCAAAAGGAAATGTTCCCACTGAGGGTAATTAAAAGCAAAGCCTAGAGTAAGTCCTCGGCAGCTCCGCAAGTGTCTATGTTGCCAAGATGTCACATTCTAATAAAGCCTCGAAAATGCAACCTTTCCTCTCCTTGAACCAGAAGTCTGCGTCACACAGGAGCCTGGATCACAGTTGAGACTCAAGCTCTTGGGGTTATTTCAGGAATTTATAAGCCATTAAAATAAACTAGGGAAAAATAATCTGAATTTGGGGGAGAAATCACTAGATTATTTGGGGAAAATGCAGTTTTCTTATTATCAAGCAGTTATAGTGACCAAAGTATATGCAAATTGTCCCTTCAACCGGGAGTTCAACTGGGAGTTCTACCAGGAGGCGGGGCGGCCGGCGGCCAACTGCCCGTGGCCCCTCCCCTTGGCCAGCCCTGCCCCAGCTGGCAGAGGCAGCAGGCAGCAGGCAGCTGGGGAAAGGGGAGCTCCAGCTCCTGGCTCACAGCTCACAGCCGGCAGCCGCTAGGGACCCCACCCATGCACGAATTTTGTTCACTTGGCCTCTAGTGATAAATAAAAATACATCTAAATTATTCCACTTAATGTTTGTGTTTACACAGGTGCTGCTGAAGCAATCTTAAAGTTGCACAAAAATAGATCTGCCCTGTGCTTTCAGTCTGCTTGCAATGGTGCAGAGGCGCCCTGAGTCACAGCCTGTGCCCCTATGCCAATGCATCCCTAATGAGCAGCATCTAAATGCTGCTTTGCAGCCTTCCCCCAATCATATGTCCATTTATAGCAGCTCAGAGCTGAACCTTGGGTCCCCAACAACTGCACTCCATTCCCTTTCCACTGCAAAGCAGGTTTGGGTTTTTGGTGCTCAGCTCAGGAGAGAAGGGTGTGAGTGATGAAAGTTGAAAAAAAGAGACAAAGGAATTATAAATTTGGACACTCTCTCTAACACAGTTTTCTGTCATAGCAGGAGATGGCAACTTCATCTACTCCCAAGCTGACGAAAATCAGAAAGGCAAAGTGGCTCGTCTGGTGAGCCCTGTGGTTTATTCCCAGAACTCAGCCCACTGTATGACCTTCTGGTATCACATGTCTGGTTCCCATGTGGGCACACTAAGGGTCAAGCTGCGCTACCAGAAACCAGAAGAGTATGACCAGCTGGTCTGGAGGGCCATTGGACACCAAGGAGACCACTGGCAGGAAGGGCGGGTCCTGCTCCACAAGTCTCTGAAACTTTACCAGGTAAATTTCCCTCGGTGGGGAGGGCAGCTGCTTCAGGGATATGGGGTTAATATTTTGAAGGTTATCAAATGAGATGTGGGAATCATTCCAAAAATTATTTCAGGGGTTCCCTGAACTTGAGATATTGCTGCAATAATGATCATCTCAGTAGCATATTTCAGACTCCTACATTACAGGAATAGAACTAATTATCTGATAAAGGAGCAAAAATGTTACTTTATAATGGGGCTGTAACAATGAACATTCCTTTTATTTCCTGCCTTTTTCAGTTTTAAGTTTTGTATTATAAAAAGAGTGTGAGGAGTTTAATGCCATCACCCGGCAGTTAATATGAATTGATGAGCAAAGCATGTGCTTATGGGAAATCTCATGAATTTTATTTATGTGCTATAGCTTAAGCTGAACAAGCATTTGTAAACACTGCTGTTTAAGACTGAATATTTAAATACTGTGGAAATGATCTCGTTTTGTTAGGTGATTTTTGAGGGTGAAATTGGCAAAGGAAACCTTGGTGGGATTGCAGTGGATGACATTAGTATTAATAACCACATTTCACAAGAGGATTGTGCAAGTAAGTAAAAGTTCTATAGAAATCAAGGGTAAGATTCTTGGCATGAGATGGTCTTTGTCTGATTCATCTAGACCTGGAATTTCACTGTGGGCTATGAGAATATCATGTGAAATGAATAATGTGGTACAACAGGGCAAAAATCAGAATAGTTTTCCTTTAGTTACCCTATTACCTCTCCTTCGTTTTTAGAATGTCTGGTTGGTACCCATAAAGCTATATATGTAATGATGTGGATTCCAAAGATCATAATAAAGAAAAAAATTCTCAATTTACAGGCTATATATGTGCCATGCTAAAACACTTTGGTGAAAAGTAGAAAACTCAGACACCTGGATAATTCTAAATATTTGGATGTATAAACAAAACAGCAGGTCTTTGAAAATGTTGATCACAGTGAATTTAAGATTACATTGTTAATGAATCATAGAAGACATATTCTTTTTTTTATTACAGATAAGTAGATATTTCTGACTCTTAAAATATTTTAAATGATTCAAAAGAATATATTACATTTAGAAACTTTGCCTAGTATTTCAGAGTTTATGTTTTTTTATGGTCTGG